ATGTGTGTGTATATATATATGTATATATAGGCCCATATGCACACACACACACATATATATATATATATATATATATAGTTATATAATATAATAATATTTATATTATATAGGCCTATACCTCGCAGTTTATCAGAGTATTAACAGGAAAATGTAAAAAATAGTTTTTCAGTTGTACATCTCCCTAGGTATCACTAGGATAAAATCGTATTATCACCACATAGTGATCACGGTCTTGCCACTATTCTTTGTGAAACCCCATGGGTTCATGGTGGAGACGTTGGAAAATCAGGTCACATGCAGCTCGTCTGGCCCGATCATTGGTTGCACCAGGATGGTGTGAGGAAGAGGGAAGATCATATTTCAAATTCAAGCTGGGATTCATTGTTTCATCGTCGATTACAGCAAGCGTTGTGTTAAATTGGATTCGTTAAATTAATTTCGCAAAACGAAAATGTGCATGGGTTCTACTCCACTGGACGGAGACAAATGAGACAAGTATCCTGGACAATTCAATGGTTCCAGATAAAATAATGTTCGAGACCAACCGAAAGATTGAGATGGAGAATTTGGAGACCCAAAGTTAACAAGAACCCTCCAAGAAAAAATGGCTGAATGGCGTACTACTGTATTCAAGTGTTGCCGTTGCTATTTATATAGGTAATTCGAAATTGCACTTTTCTTATTATTTATTTGAATATATTCACTTTAGCTAGGTTGTCCATAGGCCTGCTGCTGGTACTAACAATCAATAGTGTTCCAATCCATAACCCACCCACTACTTAAATAAACAGAAAACATATACTCTGGCTAGGCCTAGGAGGCCTATAGGCTACGACCGTTTGACTTAGGCCTAGGCTTGACCTCCTAAATGGTCTGGTTGAAACGGCCGTTAACTCGATTGTGGAATTAATGATTATGACGGGCAATTACGCTTTTTAATTCGTTTTTATTTATTTATTATTATTTTTTTTATTCAATCTTTTGTTATGTAACATAGGTCTAAATGTATAAAAACAAAACATAAAATGTTATCTTCATTTGGTAAGAATCAAAAAATATAGTTGCACCAACAATTAAAGTTGTTTTAGGCTCGATTAGCCTTCCTAAAACAGTACTACTAGCCTATTCCTAGTAATATAGCATAAATGCCTACTAAACATTATCTAGCACTGTACATTCTATGTATGCCTTGCTATATGAATTGCATTTTTAGCGTTAAAAGTCTGGCCTGGGTCGAAATTACTCGACATCAGGCAAGCTTGATTTTCGTGTGATTAATTTTCTTGATTGTTAGTTTTATTTGTTTAGTTTATAAACTATGAATATAATAAATCTACTTGCAAATTAGGGTTTGTTTTAAAATACTCTGTTTGATTTAAATAAGAAGTTAAAAATGTATATAATAAAATCAGTTACCATGTATTTTTGGCTGCCAAAATACATTGTATTTGAAAGACTAGGTATAAAGAACATTCGTTTACTAATTTAAGAACTTTCTTTATTTTCAGGTTGCACTAGATACATTTTGTCTCAAAGGACTATTATGCAGCTTAAAAAAAGCCAACATGCAAGTAGACTGGTATGTGCTGCAATGACAAACAAAATATATACAGTATCTGCAATATTTGGTAAATTAATTTTCTATTAATTTTTTTGAGATTTAAATAATCCATTTGTGTTTTAATTTAAGACAACAGCAAATGTATTACAGTAAGTATATTGCATTATAGTAAATTGTCTGCTTTACGACCGTTGATTTTTGAAAATACTTAATATTACCATGTTGAATTACTAAAAATACAAGCAATGTACTATCCAACAGTTGTAAACAAAATTTGACATTTACCCCAAGACCGTTAAAAAGTTTATGTATACCTCATTGCTCCACGATTCAATTACAGTAAGTAAATTAGTGTTTCATATCTACATATTAAACATTAGAATACGGTATTGTCAGCAATAATGAAACCTACAGTCCCAAATTAACACCATTAAAATAATGAAGCTAGCAGGCCACTGTTATTGCAGCATTATGTTGCGTGATATTTGCTATTACATGTCACTACTCAAGTTTGTGTTGTCATGATGACATGAGTCTCATGGTGTACTCTGGGTTTAGCAATTAAAGTTCACAATTTATGAATCTAATTGTCTTTCGAACATGTCATTTTCAAAATTATTACTGCATATACAGTTCTACTCGAACCTAGAAATTTAAAGGAACAATGTAATTCTCATTTAAATAGATAGGCCTACTTTTCATATTTCCGAAGTTTTGTGACACTATATATTTATATAATTTCAGAATAACCAGATATCCAGTCAGCAGCTGTAAAAACCAAGATGACTAATATATGTGAAGATACAAGGCGTTCCATGTCAAAGGGAATGGATACAGCAGCTAATGTTTACAACAGGCGCTTAATGTGCAGTAATTTTTTAATTTTAAATTGTAATTGTAATTATCTTTGCTAAAGGTAACTTAGTGTTGTAATTTAATTTTTTTTAAAGTTTATTTCATATCGTACAGATGAGCTGCAGCATGCTTTACCACCTAAGTAACTGTTCGTCTATATGCAATAAAAACAATTAAAAAATGTAAACTCATTGCTACATTAACTTAACTATTAAAATCCTTGACTAATTTAGTGTTTAGGGTGAAAACAGTTACTGTATACATTTGTCTAATGTATGTTTTTAACTTAAAAATGTTATAACACATACATAATTCGTCTGACTATTATGCAATAATCTTACGATAGTGCTTATATATGTACTTAAAAGTTAGTTTAATAAATGTTTATTTTATCAATTTTAAAACTGTTAATATTTTATTTTTGTTGTACCTTGCAGGATGAAGGTGAGAACTTTGAGATTGTGCATGTGATGATTTTACTGCGTGGTGACACTGAATCTCTGTAGAACAAACAGTTTTGTGTAAACTTCACCAATAACACATGTAAAGTATGTGTTAACACTGTGTTTACTGTATGTTGGCAAGATTTGACAACAATGTGTTTACTGTGAAAACCTCACCAATTTCACATAGTCAACAGAGTAAACACACTGTGTTTATTGTTGGGTGACACTATGTTTACTCTATAAGGACACTGTGTTTAGTGACATTATATAGATAGTTTGTTTATTGTGTGGTACACTATGGGAACAGTGTGTGAAAAATGTGTTAACACTGTGTTTACTGAATGTTAGCAAGTTGTGACAACGATGTGTTTCCTGTGTTTCACACTGTGAAAACCTCACCAATTTCACATAGTCCACAGAGTGAACACACTGTAAACACACTGTGTTTATTGTGTGGTGACACTATAGAAACACTATGTTCACTGTGTGGGGACAGTGTGATAATTGTGTGGCTACACTATGGGGACAGTGTGATTTTTGTGTGGTGACACTATGTTTATGTTTGGTGTCACTATGGAAACACTGTGTTTACTGTGTGCGGACAGTGTGTTAATTGCGTGGCTACACTATGGCGACATTGTGTTTATTGTGTGGTGACTGTGTGTAAACACTGTGTTTCACACAGTTTACAGTGTGAAAACCTCTCCAATTTCATATAGTCAATGAGTTATTCACACAGTATACACACTGTAAACACACAGTGTACACACTGTGAACACACAGTGCACACACTGTGGTGCAGTATGTGTACACTATATGAACACATAGTTTTTCACATTGTGTTCACTGTGTGGTATTTTCCAAAGGGTTAACAAACAAACAACTTACGCATGCGCAAGTTTCTCAGATTGCATATATTTCACCATAATTGACGAATACTCTTTAGTTTATTGAAAATGAAATTTTGCACATTGCTTTACTCGTCGCTCCATTTGAAGTACGGTAGCATACCAGTAAGATGTATTGGTAACATTACTCCATAAAATTTACTTCAATACGTCGATAGCTGTATCACTCATGGGATTCGCCCTAAACATTGCATTATTTTTACAAGGTACCAATCTGCAAGATAGAAGTGTTTTTCTGCTGAGTATCGAAGAATGTCGCAGTCTATACCCCGAGTATAACGTAACTGACAATATGATTTGTGCTATATATACTTCCAGCTGTGTAATCGTTTTTATCGTACGTTATTTTTCCTATTACTTGTGATCACATAGATATTCAAATGCAATTGTTATTAATAACGTTTTTGAAATAGAATGGAGATGTTTGAAATTATAAATAAAAGAGGAAATAGTCATGTTTTAATAATATTCCATTTATAGACGATAAGATTTATTTACAGACCCAGTTTTGAATTTTTTTTTTATTAGTGATGAAGATGGTAATAACAAAAATAATAACAATATCAACAACTAAGACTAACGATTAGTATGTAATAGTAACCGCAATTACAATGACATTTACACTTATGATTTAAATGATAGTAAAGATGATAAAAAAAATGATGGTGATGGTTACTAATAATCGTAATAGGCGTAATAATAATAATAATAATAATAATAATAATAATAATAATAATAATAATAAATAATAATAATAAATAATAATAATAATAATAATAATAATAATAATAAGAGGAATAATAATAATAGGCCTACTGTAGGCCTATTCAATACTTTTGATATAGGCCTAATAGTTTATAGCAGTTTCGATTTGTGACAGTACTGATTATGTTTAATAGAAAAAAAATTATGGTAACAATAATTATAATTATTATAATTATAATAATTATATTAATATACAGTCATATGAGTGTGTTTATATAGGCGGTGAACCGCCTATTTGTTGCAAGCAGGAGTTCGTGAAAATTAGTGAGAGCGCACTTCCAGCTTAGATAAATTTCAATTTCATGCATCTTAACAAAATTACTAATTTTATAATTGTAATAACACAACAGCACACGCGTTCATTCACACACATCTATATAACCTCACATAATTGGCGTTGTAGCTTGCACTGCGCAATCACCTAACAAATCGAATACCAGTAAAAATAAAATGTTTACAAATTGAATATGGGTTCAACACAGTTTTTTTTTTTATTTATTTACAGTATAGGCCTACACAATAATACTAAACAAACATATACTAAAATAGTCATGGAAAACTTTGTGAATTGTAAACTTCATACACAGAAATACTATCTTACAAACATAGAGGAAATAACAAGCAATCACAGTTATCAACTACATTCAAGTTACAAGATAATTTTATCGTAAGAATAACCAATAAGATATGAACATCGTTAAATATAAAATTGTAAGTAAATATAAGTACTTAAACACCTTAACGCAAACAGTAAATGTAAAAGGTTGTCTGACAAGAAATGTTTCTCTATACTGGATATTGATAACAATGAAATCAAATTGAAAATCAAAGAATCCCTTTACATAAAATGGAACAATCCTGATCTTAATTTGCAAATCATGTTAACTTAAAGCTTATTTAAATATACACGTAAGCAATAGTTATTATGCAAGCACTTGTTACCTTGCATTTAACTATAGCTTCACACCCTTTTGTCAAATAAATCAATGTCTGATTATATATTCTACAATTTCTATAATTACCTATATACATATAGTCTACATGAAAAGTATTTGGTTCATTTCTGTTGTGTTTTTTGTTAACTGTTGATGGGTTGAAGGTAACCCGAAACATGTCTGCCATTAAATCTTTTGTGTTATTTTTAAAATGCGTTGTATTTTTTGTCAACTTACGTCCATTTGGTTCTATTATCAAGGATTTCAGTTCAAGAAGATTACCAGTTTCTTTATTAAGAAAATATGAAAAGATTACTCTTCGTTTGAACAAAGCCGAATTGGATTTTAATTTTTTACATAAATA